TGTGTAGATGAACACCTTGCATGTGACAGGTGCAATGATACAACTAAGGAACTGTACTTCTTATCTTGTGGTCCTGATTTTTTGTGTTCATTTTTTAACATTGTATTGTCAATGGAGTGCATTTTCATAACAGTGATCAATCACATGTCGAGTTACACAAACTGTGGAGTGATGGTGCAGGGGCAGATGGTGATCCATTGTTTTTATGGTGAATTAAGTGGTGGTTAGAGCTAAATTATGTTAATGGGTTTTGGGTTATTATTCAAGTGTAACTGGGTTTGACACTGACGCAAAAAGAAGAGGAACAAAAAGATTATCATCACTTGTATTAATGTTGGCAAATGTGGTATGAAAATGATCTTTATAACTTGCCATTCAAGCTCAACAAGTATTCTATGTTGATGATTACAAACTTGGGACTAATTGGAAAGTGGTTCGAAAAGCTCAACATGGAAACCTATGGGATGTACAAGAGATGGAAACACAAATGGAGAGGAGGATATTGTTCCTGTCAAGAAGATGGTTTGACAGGGGACATTTCATCAGAATGATGTTGATTAACTTGGTTGATGCAACAATTACACGTGTGGAGCTGAAGTAGTAGGAGATGATGTCAATGTTGATGTTGAAGAAGAAGATGATATGTTGATTGATTATTGTACTGATAATGAAAATGATTTAATGAGTGATTCTGATAACAACTTCTGATGGTATGCTTGTATATATAATGTACTCTTTACTATTTTGGTATGTGTAAATATAGTTAATGATCTAATAAGTTCGTGAGATTAATTGTATAAAGTGACTTATCTTACCTGGTATGTTTTTCTTATGTTGATGTTTGCAGATTCCGAAGATGGCTCCTAGTACAAGAAGGACCCTAGCTAGACGTGCAATGTTGTTTGACTGAATCATAGTCCTGTGCCGACACTCCTGAAATTGCTGCAAAAACTGGTAAAGTTATGCTATTGGTTATTAAGCATACTGAAATATACTTGGATTTAGAGATTGTCTACATGTTGTTAAAATTTAAGAATCCATTTTACTTACCACATGTAAACCGTCCTTGTGATAACATATATTTACTATGATGCATTATTTTGATTTTGTAGCCAATATGTGGCAAAGAACGTGAGAGGGAAGACTAGAGGAGTTGGATGTAAAAGACTCTACAAACAGTGCAATCGAAGTTGCATGTAGACTTTCAAAAATAAGATGAGAGTACCTACTGGAGTAAATGCATCAAAGTTGAGTACTGAGGTGGAATAGTTGCGAGGAACTATGCCCGTTAGAGTGCTTACTTGGAAGAAAGTTCCCTACGATGTAGAAAACAAATGATTGCTCGTATCATGGTAATGTAGTTTAGTATCATATTCCATATTGTCATACTTCCTTATGAAATAATATTAATACCCATTAAGTTTAATGCATGTACATTATTGAGAATTTAGACCAAGTTTGACATGATGTCACGAAGCCCATGTATGAAATGGCTGAAGCACAAATTGTTGAAGAGATTCAACAGCTTCTGGAGTGCCCTACACAAGAAATTCAAGCATATGCTACTAAGGAGGAAGCATCACGAATAAACCTGAAGAAATTAAATCCTGATGATTGGATATATTTTGTGACCTTTTTCTAGTGAAAAGTTTTATGTAAGGTCAACATGGCTTTTAATATATTATTTATGTATTGTATTTAATATTAAATTTTGTGGTGTTAGACATAGTCAAAACTTATTTGAGACGATAAAAGATGAGGTGTAACCACCGCGTGGTTCCAAGAACTATACCAGCACAAAAAGGAAAAGATATTAATATTATTCACCTATGCAAATATACCACTTTGATTTCCTGTTTACTAATTTTATTTCAATTTATGGTCAATGACGATATGATTGTTAAGGTGCACCAACTTGAGGAATTATCGGTTTATACAATTATTTCATGACAGTCATTGGAGCGCCGAGAAAGGGTGGATTAATGAACAAGCAAGAGAGCTGTATGTAGTTGATCATGGTCTTTAAATATTAGTTGACTAGTCATGGTCTTAGTGTCTTTAAATAAAAAATTCAATGAAATGTCTTACCATTTAATTGGGTATAAATGACTTTTTTTTTTTCCGTAACTTGTCCATATTGCCATGCTTTTATTGTTTAATTGAGTCTCATTGCATTTCTCTGTCGTCTTTGACCTGTAATTATATTGGTGCTTGTGCACTTGTTTGATATTGACATTTAGTTTTCTGAGTGTAATTACCAAACTTTATATTATGCCTGGTTTGCTTTGATATGTTACAAACATTACAGGATAAGGCTGAAATTTAACTTGTGTTATACTATTTCTCTTGATTGAACTTACAGTTTGTATTTTTTAATCAGAAAGTTGGAGTTTCTTCTAGTAGGAAAAACCTGTTTCATGGTTTAATTAGTAGATATTTCAAACTTTCTTCTAAGCATTTTTGCATCGTGTCATCCATCCTAGGGACATGCTATACAAAAAGTGAATTTTAGGAGCCTTTAAGAGCATTTTTATTTCATGGATTGATTTTATTTATGTTAGCATGTGTTAATTGATTAGTAAATATTTAACTTTAAAAATTAAAACTAGGGAATTGAAGTTTAGATTGATAAGTTTGAGATACTTGCTCTCTACTTCATCAATTTTTTTTGTTTGGTGCTGCAGTATTCTTTATGTTGCTATTATTTCTTGGTTGACTTATTGATTATGCATTGAATTGATGGTAGGAAAAAAGATAGAGCTGCAAGATGAAACACAAGCAGGGGAAAGTGAAAAAACAGAAGCTGAAATATGTGAGGAAGTAATGGGTAAAGCTTCCGGATTTAACCAAATTTTGCATTTTCACAGATTGAGCATCATTCCACTGCAGCAGAAGCAGAGTTAAGGTGCATTGTGCAACAACAAGAAAATAAGATTAAACAGTTGGAGGCGCAGCTCATCTTATTTGATCAACAAAAGAGAAAATAAACTTGAACATCAGCAATTTGTCTTGTTGGACATGATGAAGCAGCTAACTATAGCCCTTGAACTACAACAATCTGATAAGCTCCAACTCGATAGCCATTGCCATCTCCAACTGATGAAGACTTGTCCTCATTAGCTACAGCTATTCAAAAACCGCAACTGGTGACACTTGAATCTAACAGTATTGATGGTTAGTTTTTTGTCGTATGGACAGTAGATATTTTGACATGGGAGTAGAATCATCTTTTTAGGATTGTTTGCATTTATCTGTTCGATGGTATACACGGGGAGGATATTTTTTGTTAGTTATGCACATATAGATAGCTAGTGGGGAAAATGTGGGTGCATGCTTTTTTTTTTGGTTTTGCACATGTGATAGTGCATTTTAGATTTATTGTATCATGCATAAAAATCCATGTATGGACTATATATATATATATATGTATGAAAATATGATATTTGATGTTAGTGATTATATTTTTATATTGTGTCAATTATTTTGTTGATGTTGAATGTATAAACTAGGTCAATACGAAATGCTATGAAAAAAAAAAAAACATTCTACAACTAATTTTTTAGTGTAAAAAGTAAAGTAATTTAGCATAATTGCATTCCGTTGAAGGTCAATACGAAATGCTCTAAAAAACAAAACACATTCTGCAACTAATGTTTTAGTAGCAAAAAGTAATTTAGCATAATTGCTTCCACATTCAGCGTTCAAAGTGACTAGAATTAACCATCAAATTTTGGTCACCAAAAGATACATTCGTCCACTAAAAATAGTCATGAAAACCTTTGGATTTCACACAGAGTCTAAAATGATTTGAATTAACCACTAAATTTTGGTCACCAAAAGATACATTCATCTACAATAAAATAGTTGTGAAAACCTTTTGGATTCCACATTCAGCGTCTAAAATGACTATAATTACCACTAAATTTTAGTCATCAAAACATACATTCGGCCACTAATAAAATAGTCACGAAACCTTTTAGATTTCACATTCAGCGTTAAAATGACTATAATTAACCACTAAATTTTGTTCACCAAAAGATACATTCGGCACTAATAAAAGTCGCGGAAAACCTTTTGAGTCCACATTCAGCGTCTAAAAGTATTACAATTAACCACCAAATTTTGGTATCAAAAGCTATTCATTGACTAATAAATAGTTGCGAAAACCTTTTGGATTCCAACATCAGCGTCTAAAAGTTTACAATTAACCACCATATTTTAGTCACCAAAAGATACATTTGTCGACTAATAAAATAGTTGCGAAAACCTTTTACGAAATTACTTTTACACCTTTAGCATCTATTTTCTGGCATTCGCGACAAATGATTAGACAGTAAAAGGTACATTTTGAAACTAATTGATTAGTCACAATACCATTTTACAAATTAACCTTGAAACAAATTAGCATTTAAGTGGGAGGACTATTTTAACCATCAATTAGCGACTAATTTGCTAGTCGATAAAAAAAAAACTTTTTACGTCTAACCAAAAATTTAGACGCGCATATAATCTACGGCAATGATTCTGCAACTATGTGGTGACTATGAAATTTAGATGCGAAATATAGTGTCTAAATTTGACTTTCTGCGTCTAATTTTGCTATATGTCCAAAGACATTTTTCTTGTAGTGACTTTATATATGAAGTCTTCGTTTTTGTCACTATTCACTAGGTGCGTCTCCGATAGACGGCGTCTTTGATGACTCTATCGCAATTTGCGCATGAAATTTTATTCTAACTCCTGATTTAATTTGGTCAAACGAAATAATTTCCCATTGTAAAATGTGATAAGTGGGATGGGTCGCCTTGAATAAAACTGGAGGCATTTTACAATTTACATCCACTAACTCACCATCACTTGCGTGTTCTCATTCCCAAGGTTGAATTTTCCACAGATTTTGACTCTGTGTTCTTTTAATTTGGTAGTGATATTAATACTGTACAAGGATATCCTCACAAACAGAAGATAAGAGGAAGAGCCTAAGAGAGCTGAGAATGAAAATGACTTCCTGGAAATTTGTCATGTTCTTTCTTGTTCACTATCTTGTAAGTCTTGTTATCGGTTTAACAAGTGCAACTGATCATGGTTGCCCAAACAGTAATAGCACCTATCAATCTAACGTCAATTTTCTCCTCTCTTCACTTGTCTCTAACGCCACCCGCAGCAAGGGTTTCTCCACCGGTTTCTACAACACCACCGTAGGCCAAGACCCTGACAAGGTCTACGCTCTCTTTCTTTGCCGAGGTGATATCACTCCCATCACCTGTCAAAACTGTGTCAATTTATCTACCTCACAAATTCTTCAAAGTTGTCCTGTTGAAAAAGAAGGTATAAAGTGGTATGGTGAGTGCATTATACGCTACTCAGACAAGTCTATCTTTTCTGCCGTGGACGGTGATCCCGGTATTATTATTTCCAACCCTAATAATGTTACAGATAAAGATCGGTTTGACCAGCTAGTAAGGACCACAATGAAGGAAGCAGCAAATGAGGCCGCTGTTTCCCCTAAAAAATTTTCGACAAAAAAGGCAATCTTTACAACCAGTCACACACTGTACTGTCTTGTACAGTGCGCACCAGACCTGTCAAGTTTTGACTGTAACAGTTGTCTTGAACAGTCTTTTGTTAGAATGCCGACAACCAAAGAAGGAGGAAGAGTTTTGGTTGCAAGTTGTTTTAACCAGTTTGAATTTTACCGGTTTTATAATGAAAACGTTACTGCCACACCGCCGCCAACGCCTGTGCTCTATTCTCCACCTCCTGTTTCTCCAACTCCTGTTTCTGTAGCAAGGCCTAAAGGTAAAGTTGAACTAACCCACTTTGATTTCTTTTCATATCTATTTTTGAGTTTACTATAAAAATTGGAGCTCTTTAGAAGAACCGAGTAAATCTGAACACTGGTGTACAAAATAAAAATGTTACCGTTCTTGCAGGAAAAAGCGGAATTTCATCTTCAATAATCATTGCCATCATTGCTCCGATTGTTGTAGCTGTAGTACTTTTCATAGCCGGCTATTGCTTCCTAATTAGGAGAGCAAGAAAGAAGAATAGTCCTCCAGCGGCAGATAATGGTAAGTATATTATCTTTTACTTTCAATCCAAACAATCTTTTACTTCCCCATTTGTCTGTGCTCTAGAAATGTTATTGTTGCAATCTTGGTTTTACAATAATTGTAAAACCAATTGTCATTTTTTTTTTTGGGATGATTAAATTATTCAATGTCTGGCTGTGCCTGTGTAGCTGGATATGATGTCAGTACAACTGTAGAGTCCTTGCTATTTGATCTGAGGACAATTGAAGCAGCCACCGAAAAATTCTCAACTGATAACAAGTTGGGCGCAGGTGGATTTGGTGAAGTTTACAAAGTACGAATAGCATTGATTCCTGTTGTATTTATTTAGACAAAGTCGGTTCAACAGATTATCTAACGTTTTGTTAATGAAAATTCTCAGGGCATACTTCCTAATGGAAAAGCAATAGCAGTAAAAAGGCTATCAAGCAGCTCTGGGCAAGGTGCAAAAGAATTTAAGAATGAGGTTGTATTGGTAGCCAAGCTTCAACATAGAAATTTGGTTAGACTACTGGGATTTTGCTTGGAGGGAGAAGAAAAGATTCTTGTCTATGAATTTGTGATGAACAAAAGCCTCGACTATTTTCTATATGGTGTGAACTGTCTCCATGAATTTCAATGATTCATGAGTCCAATATCCTTGTTTTGCATTAACCCAAATGGATTATTTTATTCATCCTTTGTAGATGGACAGAGTTGCTTCATTATGGATTTGAATTTAACTCCTAAATAGTTTAATTTGAGATTTTGATTTTGACATTCGCAGACCCTGAAAGACGAGCAGAATTAGATTGGTCAAGACGTTACAAGATAATTGGAGGCATTGCTCGAGGAATGCTTTATCTTCATGAGGATTCTCGATTGAGAATTATACATCGTGACCTTAAAGCTAGTAATGTATTGTTAGATGGAGATATAAACCCAAAAATTTCTGATTTTGGCATGGCAAGGATAGTTGGAGTTGATCAAACTCAAGCGAATACAAACATAATTGTTGGAACATAGTAAGTTTTGACTACTACTTGCTTTGAGGAAAGTAGATAAATGAATTCATTAATTAATTATATAATCCTAAGTCTTGAATCATCGCGAAAGATAAAAAATGTCTAATGATGATTTACAAATTTCTACTTGTAATTCACAACACAAAGTTACAATGCGTCTTTGAGCTTTCTTATGTCAACAAATGAATTTTTCATTTGGTAGGGGTGTTCAAAAGAATCGATTGGAACTAGAACTGGCGAGTACCCGGGGTTTGGTTCCGATTCCTACCTAGAACCAGCAGTCAAGGGGTAGGTTCCGGTTCCAAATTTTTGGAACTGTTACTGTGCGGTTTCGGTTTCGGTTTCGGTTCTTATAGTTAGGAACCGAAACCGGGTACCGAGACTAATATAAAATAAAATTAAAGAGTAGGGGGTTAATAAAAACTTTTGTAGAAAAAGTAATGTGAATACATTTATATTTATATTTCATAATATTTAAAGTAAGTTGGTTTGACTTTTGAGAATCTATCTTTACAAAGTAATGGAGTTTGTAATTTTGAATTTATAATTTGTAATTTTATTTTTGTTAACAAGTTCCAGGTGGGTGGGGGTGTATTTGTAAGTTTTTAAGGGTTTTTTACCATTTTAAAAACTTTTGGTGGGTCATTGTAATTTTATAGGGTACCCAGAACCAGAACCGGAACCGTTGTTACAGGTTCCGGTTCTGGGTACCTAGGAACTGGAACCATCGGTTCTGGTTTCGGTTCCAAATTTCAAGGAACCATCGGTTTCGGTTCTGGTTCCTTCAAAAAATGCAGGGTACCCGGAACTGAACACTCCTATCATTTGGTATATCAAATAGCCCTAGGAATTAGGGGTGTTCGGTTCCGGGTACCCTGCATTTTTTGAAGGAACCGGAACCAACGGTTCCTTGAAATTTTGAACCAGATGGTTCCGGTTCCTAGGTAACCAGAACAGTTCCTGTTCCGGTTCTAGGTACCCTATAAAATTACAATGACCCCCCAAAAGTTTTTAAATGGCAAAAAAACCCTTAAAAACTTACAAATGCACCCCCACCTGGCGCTTGTTAACAAAAATAAAATTATAAATTCAAAATTACAAACTCCATTACTTTGCAAAGGTAGATTCTCAAAAGTCAAACCAACTTACTTTAAATGTTATGAAATATAATTATAAATGTATTCACATTACTTTTTCTACAACTGTTTTCATTAACCCCCCTACTCTTTAATTTTATTTTATAATATTAGTCTCGGTTCCCGGTTTTGGTTCCAAAAATTTGGAACCAGAACCTACCCGTTGACTGTCAGTTCTAGGTAGAAACCGGAACCAAACCCCGGGTACCCGCCGGTTCCAGTTCCAACCGGTTCTTTTGAACACCCTTACTAGGAATAACATCTGGAGAACCTGTAGGTTAGCCTTAAATAAATTGATGTGTAAATTTTTTTGATTAATTTTCAAAGGTTCCTGGTTGTCTTTAATATTAACATAATCTATGTTGCATAGTGGTTACATGTCTCCAGAATATGCTATGCATGGGCAATTCTCAGTGAAATCCGATGTGTATAGTTTCGGTGTCCTAGTACTTGAGATCATTACTGGCAAGAAGAACAGCAACTTCTATCAAACAGATGGTGCTGAGTATCTCTTGAGCTATGTGAGCAAATTCTATATTGTATTTCCCCTTTGTTAGAGTTAGTATCTTTACATGCAAATAGAGAGTGGAGAAATAAAAGAGTTAGAGCTGAAGCTCATTTATCGCAACTAATTTATTATTTCAGGCTTGGAAACATTGGAGGGATGGGACACCGTTGCAATTGTTGGATTCAACCTTGACAGATTCTTGCTCGAGAAACGAAGTGATTAGATGCATACATATGGGGTTGTTATGTGTCCAGGAAGATCCAGCTGACAGACCCACAATGGCAGCAATAGTTATCATGCTTAATAGTCACTCTATTACTCTTCCAGTTCCTGAAAAACCAGCCTTTTTTGTTGGTAGTAGAATGGAGGCTAGCATGGCAACAAAGGAGTTTGACTTTGATCAATCTAAAAGCAAGTTGACGCCACGGTCTGTTGATGATGCATCAATTACTGAAGTATATCCTCGATAATAGGGTGTTTTAGACTTCAATTCACTTGTACAACCAATAGTGACAAAAATGCTTGTTTCTATATTGGCCAACTTTATTCAGGCAGATGTATGCTCAATATTTTCTTGTGTATGATATAATTTTCACTATGTTGTATCGCCAGCCTTGATGGTATGCGCTGTATAAAACAGAGTTTTCTGAGCAAAGAGTATCAAATAGTTAATTTATTGTACTTCATGATCTTTGGGTTTCTCTCCTTATTAACCTTTTTGCTCAGATTCAGCAGTGCAGCTGATCCAACATACGTTTCTCACATCTGCTCATTCTCCATAAAAAGCACCTACCAGTCTAACCTCAATCTTCTCCTCTCTACCCTCCAACGCCAACTCCGGCAATGGATTCTATTGGAGTACAGCTCAGAGTTGTCAGTAGTTAGAGTATAGTTGTGATTAACTGTGGTAAAGTTAAAGTAATACCATGGTATAGTTAAAGCTTAGTTTAGGTATAAAAGGAGTCAACGATTGCAAATGAGAGTGGGACTGAAATGATGCTTGAATTGAAGAAAACTTTCTTCAGAAAATTCTTTTCTCTCTGTTCTGTTACATGGTCAAACCAATTAATTTTCTATTGTTAAATGTGATAAGTGGGATGGGCCGCCGTGAATAAAAACTGGCATTTTATATCCACTCAAGTCAACATCAGTTACGCGACCTCTCATTCCCAAGCTTTAATTTTTCGCAGATTTGACTGTGTTCTTTTAATTAGGTAGAGATACTAATACTGTACGAGGTTGTCCTCAAACAGAAGCTAAGAGAAAGAGCCTAAGAGCTGAGAAGTAAAATGCCCTCCTGGAAATTCTTCATGTTCTTTCTTGTTCTCTATCTTGTTATCGGTTTAACAAGTGCAGTTGATCCAAAATATCTTTCCCATTCTTGCACAAACACAACAACTTTTAACAGAAATAGCACCTATCAATCTAACCTCAATTTTCTCCTCTCTTTACTTGTCTCTACAACAATGCTACAGACACCGGTGTTTTTACACCGAAATTTTGTACCAGCTTACGTGTTTACTGACTCAGACCATTCAACGTGTTTGGCCGTTCATTAACATGGACTTCCGTCCATATTATATGGATGGGAGTCCGTTTACCACGGACGGGCGTCCTCATTTAAAGGACGCCCGTCCATTGGTAAATGAAATAAAAAATATTAAAAAAATTAGGGACGGCCGTCCATAATGAATGGACGCCCGTCCCTTAAGTATGGACGGCCGTCCATAATGAATGGACGCCCGTCCCTTAAGTGTGGACGGGCGTCCATTCCTCATGAACTGCCAAGAACTACACTCAGGTCCCATTGCACGTCCATGTAAGTTCTCCTGTTTTTATTTAATAAAACAGGAGAACTTTGATATGTGCAGTCAGTAAAGATGGTGAGGAAGCAATCAAAACATCCAACTCTAGCCTCAAGTTCCCGGATAAAGCAAGTAGCATGTGGGGGGCTGACGGGTAGTATGACGACGAGATCGACGGAGNAATCCCACACGAGTATCACAGCCGTGGTACTTCTTTCAGGGGGCAAGCCAAACTGGATAGCTCTTTTGAGGAGATAAGAGTCAACGCCATTCGTGTTCACATATTTGATGGTGATGATGTAGGTGATAATCTGCTGGAAATGGGACAACCTTCGGATGGATATTCAAATATGTTTTGGAGCCAAAGTTACAGCATATGTTTATTTTGTTAAGTTTGCAGTGGTTGTAGAGCAGATATTTAGCCATTTAAATGAAGATTTTGTGTCTTGTTTAGTTGAGACTTAGACTTGGTTAGGTGCATGTTTGTTGCTAAAGTTGATTTGCAATAAGCTTATTATATTGCAGTAGGTAACACAGTGTTAAAAGTCTGTATAAATTACTCTGTTTTATGAATGAAATATAGAGACCAAAAAGACCATTTTTTTTGTCGTCTCCTTCATTGCAAATATTCATCCTTTTACATTTGGACTTCTCTTCCAAGAAACAACAGATGGATCATGTGAAGATACAAGTATGATTTTGAAGCTAAAAAATAAAATGGGAAGTTGGGTGGGAGGAGACATTGCATATATGTAGCTGATATAATGGTTTTATATCCAAATCGAAATCATGTTGACAATTGACATTGTGATTAGGAAAAGATTCCTCTTGTCTCCCCCATCTCCTAGTATATATTAGGCATATGGCAGCAGAATGAAGGCAAATTGAACACAGTTTTCCATCTAGACCGCACCCACTCACTTCAGAAGTTGATCAGTATTTGAGCAGAGTAAGGGCTTCTGAAGCGACCTCTACGTCATCATCATAAATAAGCCATCAGATAAATGGCCTTCAAGATTTGCATGATTGTGTCGATAAGTTGCTTCAGTTGTCCCTGATTCAACAAGCTTTAGCCCAAGATGAGCAAAAGAAATGGGTTGATGAGCTGTTGAATGGATCTCTGAGACTCTTGGATCTTTGTAGCGTTGCTAAAGATTCCTTGTTGCAAACAAAGGAATGTGTAAAAAATCGATTTTGCGCAGAAGAAGGGCTGATGATATGGAACTTAAAAGTGAGGTTAATAAGTATTTAACCTTGTTGATGCAGTGATGCTTTGCTGGAAATGCATCAAATGCTCAAGTCTGCTAGATTGTGTTTTTGGAAAATGCAGAATGTTTCATGCAGCAATGACTTATCGTGCATGGGAGAGTTTTTGTATAATTGGTTATCTTGTTGTTTAAAGGGTGTTTAAGTAAGTTCATTAGAAGTAATTTTACTGTAATGTTGCGTTGAAATTTGAATTTGAAAGCTGTAACTTCTGCTGTAGTTGGTGTAATTAGCAGAGAGTGGATATAAGTTATATATGGTCTTTTTTAATTAAAAGTTCATAACCTTTTTGCAAACATTTGGGGTGCTCTCTCTCTCTCTCTCTCTTTTAATGTTCTCCGGCTGAAACCAACAAATGGTATCATAGCCGCCACAAAAACCAAAAACTTAGCATTGTAAACCTTCGATCACACCTCCAAAATACTCTTCATCTCAAAACGATAGAACTACAGTTGTTCTTCCTTCTTCTAGTGACAGACACGAAAAACAGGGGCGTGGCAATGCAATCTGCCTTGATGGCTCCACCGGTATTCAATGGAGAACATTACCACATCTGGGCAGTAAAGATGAAAGCCTTTCTTCGTGGACAGGGATTGTGGCAGTATGTGGAAGAAAACCGACAGCCACCACCTCTTGGACAGAATCCCATGTTGAACCAAATGAGGCTACATGAGGAAGAAACAGCCAAAACTTCGAGAGCTCTTTCTCACATACATGCTGTTGTGACTGATCTTGTTTTTACAAGAATCATGGCATACGAAATCCCCAAAGAAGCATGGGATATATTGAGAGAGGAGTACATAGGGAGCACTACAACGAAGAATATGCAAGTTCTTAATCTAAGGAAGGAATTTGAGATGCAAAGAATGCAGGAAACTGAAAAAGTAAAGGATTATGTTGATAGACTAATGAATGTTGTCAACAAATTCAGGCTTATGGGAGTGGAGTTGACTGATCGTAGGGTTGTGGAAAAGGTTTTGGTGAGTCTTCCGGAGAGATTTGAGTCCAAAATCTCTTCTTTAGAGGACTGTAAAAACATGACTCAGATCACATTGACTGAGCTTGTCCATGCCCTCTAAGCTCAAGAGCAAAGAAGGCTCTTGAGGCAAGAAGATACTAGTGAGGGTGCATTGGTTGCAAGCTTCAAAGGCAAACCTACACAGACACAAACAAGAAAGTATGTTGGAGATAGAAAAGGGAAAGAGAGGAGTAATAATAGTGGGAGAGACCTACTAGAGCAAAAGAATTTCCAACCTGCACTCACTATAAAAAGAAGGGGCATCCGGATGGTATATAGTGCAGGAGTTGTAAGCAATTCGGGCATATTGAAAGAATGTGTAAGAACAAAGTAAACCAGCCAATACAACAAGCAAAAGTTGGGGAGGATCAGCAACAATGTCAAGAGACAAAACAGCTCTTTGTGGCCTCCTGTTACATTGCACAATCCAGCAATGATGCTTGGTTAATTGATAGTGGCTGCACCAATCACATGGCTGCAGACTTGCAAAATTTTGTTAGCTTGGACAGATCGTATAGCTCCAAAGTCAAGATTAGGAATGGTGAATTCATGGAGGTCAAAGGCATAGGGGATGTTGCTGTCCGAACTTGGTCAGGTACAAAAATAATCTCTCATGTGTTGTATGTTCTTATAATTAGCCAAAATCTATTGAGTGTGGGGCAAATGTTAGAGAGAGGTTATTCCTTACATTTTGAAAACCAAGCATGTACCATATTAGATCCGAAAGAAGCCGAATTGATGAGGGTAAAGATGCTAGGGAAAAGCTTCTCGGTTGAGTGGAAAACCACCAATGATTCTGCCCTGTTAACTAGATAGGAAGAGTCAAAAACTTAGCACAAATGGCTTGGACATTACCACTATAATGGCCTCAAAGAGTTGAAGAATGCAAACATGGTGAGTGACCTACCAGAAATTGAGGAGAAAAGCACATTATGTAGTGCATGCCAAATTGGAAAATTGAGCAGACCTGCGTTTCCTATGGATCAGACTTGGAGAGCAACAATGAAGCTTCAACTGATTCATTCAGATGTTTGTGGTCCCATGCAAATAGAATCCTTAAGTGGAAGCAGGTATTTCATACTCTTTACAGATGATTATACACGGATGACATGGGTGTATTTCTTACAGCAGAAAAGTGAGGTTCCTGCAGTGTTTAGAAAATTCAGACTGTTAGTAGAAAATGAAGCTGGAACAAAGATCAAATCATTGAGAAGTGACAACGGAACAGAGTACACTTCAAGGGAATTCAGTTCTCTCGGTTTAGAAGCTAGTATTAGGCATCAATTCACTATTCCATACACTCCACAGCAAAATGGAGTAAGTGAAAGAAGAAATATGATCATCATAGAGATGGCTAGATGCATGTTGGCAGAAAAACATCTCCCTAAGAAATTTTGGGTTGAAGCAGTAAATACGGGAGTTTATCTCCTAAATACGCTGCCAACCAAAGCAGTCAAAGGGCAAACACCAATTGAGGCATGGATAGGAACTAAACCTACAATTGGATATTTAAGAGTGTTTGAAAGTGTGTGCTATGTTATGGTTCCAGCAGTGAA